TGGAGTAAAAGTACCGATACATCACTTAAAATGTACTCAAATAAAAGTACACAATTTTTAAACTACTCAAATAAGTACAATTACTGATAAAAACTACTTAATTACTGTAACGTGAGTATTTGTAATTCGTTACTTCACACCCCTGCACACCTGTGAGGTGGATGGATTATCTCGGCAAAGGAGAAGTGCTCACTAACACAGATTTAGACAGATTTGTGAAACATATTTGAGAGAAATAGGCCTTTTGTGTACATAGAAAAAGTCTTAGATCTTTGAGTTCAGCTCATGAAAAATGTGGGCAAAAACAAAAGTGTTGCGTTTATAATTTTGTTCAGTGTATATATATAGAGATGTTTAACCAACTGTGACAACTTCCTCTTCTGAGAAACCTGGAAATGTGAAAAGGGTCAATAATAATTAAGAGCAAGCAATGAGGAAGGCTGTGTAATGAGGTGTTTTGTTTGTCAGGGTCGGGAAGGAATGACATGTTACTACCTGACTCACGGGTGGGCGGGGCTCATCGTCGTCGTGGAGAACCGTCACCCGAAGTACTACCTCCATGTGTCATGTGACTGTACCGACAGCTTCAATGTGGTGTCGACCCGCGGCAGCCTGAAGACCATCGACAGCGTGCCGCCGCTGCACAGGTAAACTCATCTCCTGAAGCGTCTGACAGCAGCGGGAACAAGAGCAGGCCGTTGTTCCTCCGGCTCCAGATGGAAACCCGCCGTGTGATTGTGAATGATAGTCCTGTTAGTGCCTGAAGACTTCCCTGATTCCTCCAGGCTTTGCTTGTCTGACAGCAGCAGGAACGAGAGCAGGCCGATGTTCCTCTGGCTCCAGATGGAAGCCTGCAGTGTGATCGTCAATGTTAGTCCTGTTTTATTTTAGAGCGAGAGCCACATGACAGTTTCACCTCTAAAGTATTCATAGCTCAATCACACTCCTCTCATTCACATGATTTATCAACCCTTACAGTGCTGCTTATGCAGTTTTAACCAACACAATTATTAATTAAAAAATAATTTATTAAAATAATTATTAAAGACTATTAAAAACTAAAAAGTGAATATTTGTTTATATATATATATAACTTTGTATATACTTTATATATATATATATATATATATAATTTTATTTATATTTTTTTTTTACTACATTATTTTATAATTTTTTGTATGCTTCTCTAACATTAAATATAATTTTATGACGTAAATTTCTCTCAAAGCATCCACCATAAATTGTTTATAAAAAGGGAAAAAAAAGTTTTCCCCTAAAATTCTGTATTTCTGACTTCTAAACATTTCAGTTTTATTTTAATTATATTATAATAATTGTAATAAAATAATTATAATAATAATAATTATTATTATTACTATTACAGCTTAAATTTTATTAGATTTTTTTTCATGACAATTAAACACATTTCCCCCTGAAATTCACATTACTGTAAAACTCCTGGCTTCTAGACAAAATATAATTTTATGACGTAAATTTCTCTCAAAGCATCCACCATAAATTGTTTATAAAAAGGGAAAAAAAAGTCTGTTTTTAGGACCATTATTTATTGTTGTTGTTCTTTTTTTATAGCAATTAAGCACATTTTCTCTTCAACTCACAGTTGACTTTGGTGTTTGCAATAAATAAATATACTTTATAATGTTATTTTTTTTACTTATTTATTCCTATTATTATCTGTATTTAGTCCATATTTTTTGTACTTGTTACCACTGAGTGAAATATATATTTATTATGTTAATTTCACTCAAGCTATCCACCATCTTGGGTGAATAAATTTTTCAGTGAGAGCACTGCAATGCATTTTGAGATTGATTTCTTATTCAAAGAAAGTACGTTTGAATGCATTATAATGTTGCTGCTCACCTGTGCTTTCTAAAAGTGCTTTCTGCGTATGTTTTCACTATCAGAGCAGCAGTGTGATTCATTAACACACGTTTTCTCCTTTCACTTGTTGCAGGCAGGTGCTGGTGGTCCTGTCCCAGCTGGAGGGGAACGCCGGATTCTCCATCACACACAGACTGGCCCATAGGAAAGCGGCGCAGGCGTCTCTGGGCGACTGGACGTCTAGTAAAGCCACACACTCACCCCAGCTCACAGCAGACACTGACGGACTGCACAGACCGCGGCCGCTTTGACACACGCTCACACACACACACACATAGACACACATAGACACACTGTCCCGTCATGAAACCACAGCGTCGAGTTCAGACCCGTGATGATGATGAACACACACGCAGCCACTGAGAGGGACTGGGTGGAACTACTGAGCCAATCACACGTCTGCTCGCTGAGCCAAGACCCGCCCACTGCAAACACAGCCGCTTTGCGCAAGCACACGCGTGTCATGATGAGCTGCATTCACATCCATCCTGGAGTCCGCCGCACCTCTCCTGTCACCAGACTTTACCTTCTACTTTCTCTCCATGCGTTCAGTCAGACGGAAAATCTCACCTAAATATTGCACACGGCTCATTTCACCCAGAATCAAAAGGGAATTTTTTATTTTTTTTTTATCGCAAAATGAAGCCTGTTTTTGGGACTATTATTATTACGGTTTCAATTATATATTTTTTCATGACAATTAAGCACATTTCCCCTCATGTTCATATTACTGTAAGACTCATTTTTATTCAATTATATTAAATTGTCTGTCATGCAATTCAATTTTCCCCTAAAATTCTGTATTTCTGACTTCTAAACATTTCAGTTTTATTTTAATTATATTATAATAATTGTAATAAAATAATTATAATAATAATAATTATTATTATTACTATTACAGCTTAAATTTTATTAGATTTTTTTTCATGACAATTAAACACATTTTCCCCTGAAATTCACATTACTGGCTTCTGGACATTACAGTTTTATCATTATTATTATTATTATTATTATTATTACAGTGTCAGTTATATGAAATTAACTTTCATGGCAATTAAGCACATTTTCCCCTGAAATTCACATTACTGTAAAACTCCTGGCTTCTAGACATTTCAGTTTTATTTTAATATTGTTAGTATAATTATTATTATTAATATTACTATTATTACAGTTTCAGTTATATTATTTTCCCCCTTAATTTTCCCTTCAAAAATGTGGACATTTCACTTCGTTTTCATTTTTACTTTTATAATTTTTGTTATTTAAGATGATCTTCACTAGATTCGTATTACTTCAATACAATAGTGTACTGTATTATATTAAAAAACACTTCATCTTTTTTTTTTATTCAAACCACAATTAGGCAGTACACCAAATGTTAAAATGTTAATATTTTTTTAAATATAATTAGAAGTTAATATCAATATTATATCATTGTTTGTTTTGTCGTCTGAATTTGGGGTGGGGGGGTGTAATTGTCAGGATATCTTAAAGGCCCAAAATACAGTTTTAATTTCCTTAAGCATAATGTATCTTGATTCTTCCTTTAATCTTAGGGTGAAATGTGCCGAGTTCTCAACATATTTTGTGAGATTTAGGATTAATGGTGTTCTGACAGCCAATCAGCAACCTGTTCTGTGGTCACATGTTCTGTATAATGGGTAATGTAAGGACAAATGGCGATACTTGATTTTAATGGAAGGCCAGGTGTGGTAAATGAGGGGTTTATGTGTTTGAACGCACATGTGGGAAGCATCCTTCTACTTTCTCTCCATGCGTTCAGTCAGACGGAAAATCTCACCTAAATATTGCACACGGCTCATTTCACCCAGAATCAAAAGGGAATTTTTTATTTTTTTTTTATCGCAAAATGAAGCCTGTTTTTGGGACTATTATTATTACGGTTTCAATTATATATTTTTTCATGACAATTAAGCACATTTCCCCTCATGTTCATATTACTGTAAGACTCATTTTTATTCAATTATATTAAATTGTCTGTCATGCAATTCAATTTTCCCCTAAAATTCTGTATTTCTGACTTCTAAACATTTCAGTTTTATTTTAATTATATTATAATAATTGTAATAAAATAATTATAATAATAATAATTGGACAAAAATAATGTATTAAAGTTTAAAATCTGTACAGTTCATTTGCAATCTCAGGTTCTGTCGGACCAAATGATAAATAAAGTTTTTGTTTTGTTTCATTTTTTTTAAATCAAGAAACGTGAGTTGCTGACTTATTTTTATTTGTCACTTAAAGGTGAAGTGTATTATTATTTTTGTTAGAGTAGTTTTCATATCACAGTTTTATTGTAGTAGACATTCTTATATTTATATAGAGTTCTTAGACGTTCTTATATTTTTGTAATTTCTTTAATGGTGCAGAAATGACAGACTAACAGTTTGATTCTACATTACAACTTTACTTTTTTTTTTCTTTTTTTTTATGTATTGTGAATTTTCTCTGAACTAGATAGTGAAAGTATATTTTAATACTGCAAAATAGAGTAAATTTGTTGGGGTTTTTTTTTTTTACACTAAATAACCAATAGAACCAAAATACATACACAGAACTTGTAGAATATCAATTTTAAATATAGTTTGTTTTTTAATAGAATATCAAACCAGTTTGCATGTCCCCAATAATCACTGCAATATTTTATTTGGCTATAGTCTAAAAAGCAGAAACAAATTTACCCTAAATTTTGCAGTAATTAAGATGCATATATATATATATATATTTTTTTTTTTAGAAATGTAATCATTGTAGACTTTTTTTTACTATATTTATATAATTATATATGTCACTTTTTCCTACGAATGACCCTGAAATTTCATACAATAAATGCATTGATCATAAGAATTTATATATATATATATATATATACACACACACACATATATGTACAATATATATACAGTGGGTACGGAAAGTATTCAGACCCCCTTAAATTTTTCACTCTTTGTTATATTGCAGCCATTTGCTAAAATCATTTAAGTTAATTTTTTTTCCTCATTAATGTACACACAGCACCCCATATTGACAGAAAAACACAGAATTGTTGACATTTTTGCAGATTAATTAAAAAAGAAAAACTGAAATATCAACGTTTATATATTAAATATATTTATATATTTATTTATATATGTAAATATTTTCAAAATATATGCTGTATGTGTGTTTATTTATATATACAAAATAAAAATACACAATTCACACACATATATTATGTAAACAAACTCATTTTGAATGCGATTAATCGCGATTAATCGTTTGACAGCAATAATATATATATATGTATGTGTGTATATATATATATATGCATACACACGCACACTCTTACTTTTTTCCTGAGTGACCCAGTGCTTTCATCATATAAATGCATTTAATATGTGATAGTAAATTCCAGTAGACATCCATGTAGAAGCAAGGATCACAGAAGGGTTAATAATATCGCAGTATGAAGGGGGTGACTGAAATGTGGGTGCACTGAAGTAAGTGTAGTTTTGGGTAATAAATAGCCGGTGGCGTCTCGGCGTAACTCTAGAGCTGCTGGAGTGACTCTGGGGGGAAGGGTTCTGCAGGGTAAGGAGAATCTTCTGACTAATTTGAACATGTTCCCAGAGACCTGGACCTGGACAGATGTCAGGCTCTGCCCTCGTCCCAAAAAAGGAGAGCGGGATGAGTGCATGACAAAGAGAGGTGGAGCTACTGAAGAGAAGCTGCAGCACATTGGGACTGGATCTGGATTTTCATGAAGTTTCTGCTGCTCATATGTGACATAAAGGAGTTTTGTTTTTGAATTGACAGATTGCCGTTTCACTGTGAGTATTATTTTTCAAGCTTTCATATTTGTATTCAAAAAATTTTTCTGCAGTGATAATTTCTCTAATTAAGTTTGTTAGTTTATAGGGTTTCTGTGGCCTGAGTGTGAAGGTTGAATTATATTTCAGTCAACTGCTTCGAGTGTGAAACGATTGCAGTTTTACATGATAAAACAGACTTATTCTCTTGTTTCTCTCTTTCTCTCTCTGTCTGTGGCCTTCTTTCACTTTTATGCTTTAATGATTGATGGCTTTGTTTGTGAGTATCTGATATGAAATATTGAATCACTGACATGTCGTTTATGATATTTGTTTAGATTGTGTCTCTCTATGAGCGTTTGATTCTTTAATGTTTAGGATTCACAACTGTAGGTGAAAATTGGTTGATGCATCTGTCAAATATTAAAGTTATGCTAATGTTTTGAGCGAAGGTTGAATCACCAGTCTGCATCACCCTCTAAAATCAAACTTGAAAGTTTCAGATCAGTAAGACTTTTTTGGTAGTAAATATATAAATATAATTCCATAAGGATGCACTGAATTGATCAAAAGTGACAGTAAAGACATTTATAATGTTACAAAAGATTTCAAATAAATGCTGTTCTTTTGAACATTCTATTTTGAACATTCTATTCATACTATAAATATTTGTTTTATAGTAATTACATTTTTACAGTACGCTATCGACAGTTATAAATGTGCTTAACTGTCATGAAAATATCTGCAAAAAACCTTACTGGTCCTCAGATAAAGAGTGTTTTCTTTATGCAAAATATAATTCGATTTTTATTTTAATTTATGGTTGAAATATGACCCAAAATAAGTGTTATTATGTAGTCACAGTCTGTGTATTTCCACTCCTGAGCTCATGAACTAATGGACTAAGATATGAACTATACTTCAGAATCAGGCTGTAAATCAAAAGAAACACACACTTGCATCAAAAAGTCTCAAATTAACCAAAATCTCTTGTTGTCAACACCTTATGAAATGTGTGTGTGTGTGTGTGTGTGTGTGTGTGTGTTTGTGTTTGTGAGAATGGCCGGTCCGGTTCCAGCGCTCCCAGACTCTTTTACTCCGAGTTCAGACAGTGTTTACTCGGATCAGTTTGGCTTTTACTCTCTGGACAGTAACGTTCCTGGTCTTTCTAAAGTCATCTTAGACAAACTCAACATGACAGACTACAAAGAATACAGGTGAGAAACACACTCTTATAGTGGAGAACGGCCCGGGTTTGTAGTGTTCAGATGCTGTGACTCTCTCTCTCTCTCAGGGCTGCACTGGAGGGCAAAGGAAGGGTGGGATTTCGCTCCCACAAAGAGATGTTTCAAAATCTAGAAGAAACGTTTAAATTCTGCGCCTGCTGCTCCAAACTCTCATCCAACCTTCCAGACCCGAAAGCACTCAAACGCTGCATTAAGTGAGTAGAAACACACAGATCACAACATCACATCATTTAAGATGAGCAGATTACTGAAATATAAACCAGTACATAGTTCAGTGAGCAAAATATCACTAAAACTACACTTGAATTATTTATGAATAAAAAAACAGGGACAAAACATTTTTATATATTGGTTTTAAAAGTTGGGTTCCTGCTATTATTATAATTATTATGATGTTTGTGGGTCACACTGACCCTAACTGGTTTTTAATCAAAAATCACACTATGAAAAATAGTAAATGGTGCTGATAACAAACAGATCAAAACAGAATTATAACAAAATTATGACTTTACAAAAACAGATTACAAAAGTAAAATAAATTAGATAAAACTTAAAATAACACTTTTTTTCACAATTTTGGGGGGAAAGTCAGTTTGCTGGTTTTCATCTCACAATTCTGACTTTTTTCTCAGAATTTTTGTAACTTGCAATTGCGAGATTCTGAGATATTGCAGTTTTGAGAAAAAGAGATATAAACTTTTTAATATTTCAATTCCATGGCAGAAATAAGCTTCCATAGTTTTGAAAGTGC